GTGAGGACAACATTCGCGGAAGGTTTGCGTAGGCGAACCTTTTGGAAGCTCTCTGGAATTGGTGTTTCTCAACCCCTTCACCAGTTGGCGAGTACTTCGGGTTGCGTTTTCTGAAAAATGGACCGGTTATTACCGAAAATTACCTTTCACGGACACCACAATGCAGCCCAAAGTAGGTCTGTGGCTCCGTGTCTGAAGTGCCGTCGCTGGAGTTTAGCACTGCACGGAACGGGACTGCTTCAGAGTAAGCTCCTGAAGATGTGTAAAGGCTCAATTAGAGTTTTTGTTAAGCGTACCAAACTTCTTGATGACTGCGACGGAGCGCGTGATACCACTTGAAGGCATGCCCTCTTTGTTTATTGGGGCGCGTTCCATTTCTCTGTAGTCATCAAAGATTCTCCACTGAATGGTTCTTTCGTCGATAAACCACTCTTCGCAAGCAATCGCAAACTGCCCGTCATCCAAGAACTTGAAAACGGTATACATCTGTAAGAGATGCAGGTACATGAGTAAACTAAACAACAAATTTTTTCCAGTGTTTAAAACCGATGACCGAGAGTAAGTTTTATTTTTCAAATGAGTGTAATAGTGGAATATAAATGAATTCATCATTAACAGGAAGCGCGAAACATTTACAGGTGATGCGACTTAAAGGTTGAATGAAGACACGTTCATTTAGCCGACTAGCACGGAAAATAAGAAAATCCCGAGACTGTAAAGGAAAAGTAAAAAAAGAACGAATGATATCAAACCTTCTAAAGTGGAAATGGAGGGCTGTAAGTTTTACAGTAACACACGGGTGGCTATCAACAAGAACTGCTTTGTCTCGTGTAGACCAAGAGGTAATAAGGGCGCAAAAGTAAACCGTCTGATGGAACGGGTGCACCTACCCCACAGTCATCTCTCAGAAAACAGTCCAGCGTGTCAGCAGAAGCTGATACTGACCGTTCAGCAATATGTCATGTTTGAACGGCAAAATGTACCAACCTATATATGTTGTACGTGTGAGGGTACATAGACCCTTGGTTGGCTTTCCGCGTTTCCCTTTGAGTCATTTTCACGTAAACTGAGGATGTTTCCGGGCCGCGTAATCCAGCATTTCAAATACAACGACATGTCGCTGAACGGTCAGCATCAGCTTCTACTGACACGCTGGACTGTTTTCTGAGAGATGACTGTGGGGTAGGTGCACCCGTTCCATCAGACGGTTTACTTTTGCGCCCTTATTATCTCTTGTTCTACACGAGACAAAGCAGTTCTTGTTGATAGCCACCCGTGTGTTACTGTAAAACTTACAGCCCTCCATTTCCACTTTAGAAGGTTTGATATCATTCGTTCTTTTTTTTACTTTTCCTTTACAGTCTCGGGATTTTCTTATTTTCCGTGCTAGTCGGCTAAATGAACGTGTCTTCATTCAACCTTTAAGTCGCATCACCTGTAAATGTTTCGCGCTTCCTGTTAATGATGAATTCATTTATATTCCACTATTACACTCATTTGAAAAATAAAACTTACTCTCGGTCATCGGTTTTAAACACTGGAAAAAATTTGTTGTTTAGTTTACTCATGTACC